TTTCAAACGTTTGTAGTTCAGCCATATGTAGTCTCTCTGCGTAATTAGGTCTCATACGACCGAAAAATAGTCTGGTTGATCGGCGCTGCACATTTTCAAGAATATTTTTATCCCGCACTAGTTCCGGACACCATACAGCTCCGCAGTACTCGATGATCGGACGAATGTATAATTTATACAGCCGGATCGAATTTTGAAAAGACACTTTTGTTTTCTTATAATAAGTACATTTTCGTGTTCGCCACTTGATGAACGTGCTCAGACCAGCTGAGATTTTCAGTAATTATAACACCTAGATCATTGTAAGATTTAACTTTATTTAACGTATGACCGTTTAGAAAATAATTATGACGAGGATTATTTTTACCAATATGGAGAACTACACTTTTATTTGTATTTAGAGGTAGCATCCAATCTGAGCACCAGTTATAGATGGACTCAAGGTCATCTTGAAGCTGTTGGAAGTTCAAAGACGGGTCACTAAATATTTTAGTGTCATCTGCATAAAAAATATTGTTGCACTTGATATGGAATTGAAGGTCATTGGCATATGTTATAAATAAGAGTGGACCCAGAACTGATCCCTGAGGAACCCCACTCAAGACTGGTCTTTCAAGTGAATGCGAATTTCCAACTTTAACACAGTACTTTCTATCAGTTAAGAATGACTCGATCCATTTAAGTAAATCACCACATATACCAAGGTGTTCTAACTTATGTAGTAATCTTCGTTTCGGCACACGATCGCTTTAGCAAAATCCAGGTAAATAATGTCTATAGGTTTTTCCTGTCTAATGAAAATGTCCACTCATTTACACACCAAAGCAAATTGGTCATGGTTGATCGCCATTTTACAAATCTATGTTGCTGTTTGGGAATGATTTCTTAGACTAAGAGAAACTGAGAAACGTGCTTTATTATTATGGATTCCATAACTTTACAGATTATGGGTGTGAGGCTGATTGGGCGGTAGTTATTAGAGTCTAGTTTGTTTCCTTTCTTGAAAATGGGTGTTACAGAAGCTGTTTTCCAGATAGAGGGTAATGTGTGTGTATTAAAATACAAAAACATTATAATAGATAAAGGAACTGATATGGTATTAGAGCATTTTTTTTAAAAATGGACCTGTCTGAGAATTTTTTTCGAAAAACCAACTACTTCCATTATAATGAATTTATTCCTTTCATTTGAACCATACTGTATAATTCAGCAGATTGGACGAAAGACATTTGCCATAAGGAAACTGCGTTTCTTTAGTTTTTACTGCTTATAACATTATTTATGGCAGCTTGGGCTTTCAGTTTCAAATTAATCTGGCGAAGTATACATTATTTCACCTTTATAGACTAGTAGAAGACATTTATTAAATTGTTAACAAATACTTGAGAGACAACTATTTTTGCAAGAAAAAACAAATTTTGTCGTCTAAAAATAGATGTATAAGCTATGACATTATTTTTCATAGAGTAAGGACGTGGTAGAATTATTTTCCATAACCTGCTGCAATTAAGATATTTTAAAGTTGTCTACCTTTTGGAACATCATAAATAATTTATAATTTTGTTAAGGTTTGGCCTGCACTAAAAAGTATACTAAAAGTTTAATGATATGTTCGTAGATTAGCGCAATGCCATTCCACTAAATTAAATTGAATACAGTGTTCCAATTAAAACACCATAATGATTTATCTGGTTGATTGTGTGTCCATCAATATAAATTACTCTTCCTTGGTAATATCGAGATTTATAAGGATTAACAAAAATATGTAAAAGTTTATGTATAGAGGTACGTAAATCTGAACGCGGGTCCTCTATTTTACAATGAATTGGACAAGGTATAATATGACCACTCATGAAACAAACAAATGCAGCTCAGCAGCGCATCACTTATTCTGCGGCCTTGCGCACGGTACGTGTGACTTTCTTCTCAGTAACACTTACCCTTGTCCCTTAAGCTTTGTTCAGAATAGGAGCGTCGCGATGCGATAGCGTTGCGTCTAGTGGTAAAACAACCTAGTGTTACCAAACGCAAACGTTCAAAGTGAGAGCGACCAGCGATGAGATACAAGCTTCTTTAGTCTTGTTCAGAGTAGGAGTGACGTGCGTCGCGATTGGCAACGCAATGCATCGCATCCTTGGTCGCTCTTATTCTGAATGTTTGCGTTAACACTAGATTGCGGTAACACTAGATTGTTTTACCGACGACGAGTCGCTCGACGCAACGCTATCGCTCCCTTGGTCGCTCTCTTTCTGAACGTTTGCGTTTGGTAACACTAGGTTGTTTTACCGACGACGCAACTCTATCGCATCACGACGCTCCTACTCTAAACAAGGCTTTACTCTGAAATATCAATAGCGTCGCTCGACGTAACGCTATCGCATCACGACGCGCGCCGCTCCTACTCTAAACAAGGTCTAATATATTTGGCTTGTATGGTCCGCGTTTCAATTTCCGTATATTTATAAGGCAATGGATATTTCTATACGTTACAACATCACTGACATTCTAAAAATATCAAATTAATAAAATTATCTACATATAAAAAGTGTGTTTTTTTTTTAATATCAATTATTAAATGTGAAATATAGCTCAATTCTATTATATAATCATTCTAGTGTACCCATGTGCAAATTACAGGTACATTTAGAGATCTTTTGTGAATTAGGAGTTTACAGTAATTGTTCGAATTGGCGTCTGTTAAGCTACCATTTCGCCAGAGGAGACCGAGACCGACTTCAAAACGGGAAGCAACAGCGAACGAGACCGAGCACGATCTCTTCACGTCTGAACACATGTAATTCTATGAAACACATTTTAGAAGACGAGAGAGACGACAACAGATTTAGTATGGCAATATTTTGTGTAGCACTCCAGAATCCAAGGGCACTATATCTAGGAGGATATCAAATAGAAGAGGGAGACTTACCTAACTTGAAGCCACTTCAAATCCTACACTTCCTTGAGAAAATAGGATTGGAAGGGTCGCTATAGGCATTGAGACATTTCCTTAGTGCAGTGGCGACAGAAGGGGTCACAATAGATCTTTCAGGTCGCAGTGTATTAACACCCCATTATCAACATAACATAACATGGCAATATTTGCCGCCTTACGCTGTCGTCGGTCGTCTGTCATCTGTCGCGCGTTTCCAAATGGTAGCTTTAATATTAAAACGGGGCTGCTACTCACTCGATTTTCTAAAGAACCCTGAACTTTAGAAATTTAGTCAGGTTTCTGTCAGATTCCCAGTTCAATCGTACATAGGTACATTCCATATTAATGATAATTAATATTCATTTAGCGGATCCACCAAATATGATATTTTTAGACTGGACATATTTGTGTGTTAATTGTTTTAAATAGGAAATGAATAATTGCTTGTACACTATTATTCTAAGAAATAAATGTGAAAAAAATGCAGTAATAACATTTGTTGGAATATTATGATGATGATAAAATGCACATAGTTTTAATGGGTTGATAAACATTTTTTTACTATCAAATTGTTTTTTAATTCGTGCTTAGTTCTACCTATTTTCTTTTATTCACGTTAAATATTTTAAAAATTATACAGAAGGATCCTAAAGACGTATTTTTGAGTAGTGACATAACTCTTGTATCACAATTATTTTTTATTTGCATAGCTATTAAGAAGTGAGTTTAAATGTATTTAAGAGAATTGCAATATCAAGATAACAAATTGAATCTATCAAATTAATTAGCTCCATTAATAAAAGAAGAACATTCCTATGTTTCATGCTTAGTCATTTCTATGAAACAATTTTTGATACAATACCTCACACTTTCTGTTAAAGGTTTATAAATGGTACCAAGTGTCCATAATTTTTTTTTTTTAGAAAATGTTACATGTACTGGATAAGTACTAAAGCTTTATGCTTGTATCTCTGCCAGTTATTTAATCCCTTCAAGTTATAATCTTAATGATATTCGCATCTGAGCTTCCGACAGTCTAGTAGTTTCATCCTCTTCTCCATATTTTCTATATACATGATTCATCAGATATCCCACGAGATTAGTGCACAGACACATGCAGAACAATGGGTTATTCCTAAGTCTTTTAGATGTCCAAGACTGCAGTATTCTATAAATATTTTGGATTGTCCATGAAGTTTACCCTTTCAGTAACCAGGGATCCCAGAGGGTGGACTTCCCATACTCACAATTAGGAATTCTTCTTCCTTCCTCACTATATCCATCATTTTATTGATTTGTAGTTCTTCAGAGGTATGTTTGGGGAGATCTAGATTTATACTACTGACCAATCGCCGAAATCCAGTCTGACATACCAAGTTTTCTTGGTGCAGCTGCTTTGCTATTATGGGGTCTATTCTGTAACAATTCCTTTATATTTTAACGGCCTTTAAAAATATTTTCTTTACTTCTGTCATTATTTAAACGGATCTTTAAAATACATTAGAGGACTGTCTTAAAGAAATTGATTAAATAATGACAGAAGTAAATTAACGAATACGAAAATATTTTTAAAGGCCGCCAATATTTTAACGGCCGTTAAAATATAAAGGAATTGTTACAGAATAGACCCCTATCTCTGTCATTAACAATTATTATAAGCCAAAAATAAACACATCTGAATTTACTCATTAGTTTGTGAAGTAGTTAATTTTGCAAAATCTGGCACCTAAGTGAGAACACCTGTATATGCTGAAAATTAATTTTAGTTTAAAGCAATCATATATTTATAATACTAGAGAGAGAAAACATAAAAATAGTAGTGTACAATCTGTGCAAAAAGAAGAAGAACAAAAACTAATAATTACTAAATCCCTTGTTCTCTGAATGTTCTGTTTTAGATGTTCATTATTTTGGAAAATGTAGTATACTTTGCTGGCTTTACTTAATTTTTATATTTAACCATTTAAGAGATAGATTGTTACAGAAATTTGGACCCAGATAAATTATAGTTTTTGAAAAACTCACTACAAGAAGGTTATAATATTTTTCTACATTTTTTTTTTTTCAGATATACCTAATTAGTAACCAATAAAAATGAAATATAGCTTAGACCGTATTTTAATACTGACGTTATACATTAGTTGGACGTTAGCTCGAGAAGGTAAAAAAAATCAAATTAATTTTAAAAGATTAGCATTTACCCAATTTTTATTTTTAGTACCATCACCCCCATATATTGTAAAACAACCTCCCACAGATGAAGTCCTCTTTCAAGTAGAATCCAATGGTGAAAATGACAAACCGTTTTATATCGAATGTGAAGCAATAGGAGAACCTGCTCCCAAGTAAACATAAGAACATATCGTTATTTGTTTTTCAAGTCAAAATTATTAGTTATGGTTCAAATATTTTCAGTCGCCCTACACATCTATAATTATTGTGATACACCATTTCGAAAATATTTTAATCCTTAAAAATATGCTTGGTTTCATATGTCAACGTTTTAGAGAAGTAGAAATTAGTCATTGCAAGTCAAATTAGATATAATATTAATTTCTGATTAATGACAAAGAATTTGAAGATCAGTAGGAATATCTTAATCATATTAACAGAGTAGTGTATGTAAATAAAATAATACTGAACCATTAATCAATCGACTATGCTCGATTTTTTAATATTTTATTATTGCTAACTTATACACATCCGTGAAACCAGTTACAATTTATTTTGAGTAAATGCTTGTTTTAATTGATCTTAACGTTTTTATTAATTTTATTTATTGTCATCTTGGTTCACTTGCATTTGTTTCTAGATACTATTGGATTAAAAATGGTAAACCTTTTGCATGGCAAACATATGATGATAGAATATCTCAACAAACGGGTCGTGGTACCTTATCTATCACAAAACCATCTGACGTAGATCTGGGTCAGTACCAATGCTTCGCCGAAAATCAATATGGTATTGCTACTTCCAATTCAGTATTCATGCGTAAAGCAGAGCTCAATTCGTTTAAAACTAGTCAACCATTGACTCTGACTGGTAATGAAGGTGATCCGTTTAAACTCACCTGTTCACCACCAGATGGTTGGCCTAAACCCATCGTTCACTGGATTTACTTATACAGCAATGGTGCTTTCAAAACTATCAATAGTTCCCGTATGACTTTGGATCCAGAAGGTAACTTATGGTTTTCCAATTTAACAAAGGCTGATGTCATTAACGATTTTATGTATGCTTGTGCGGCCACTTCGCCAACGAAATTTGAGTACAAATACGGAAATAGAGTATTGCTTAATGTAGTTTCTTCTGGAGTATCTGCTTCACAAAACAAGCATGAACCTGTGCTACAGTATGTCACTAGAAAGAACGAGGTAGCATACAGAGGAAAACGTGCTGAACTATTCTGTATATTTGGTGGAACGTAAGTATATGCGCCAATTGAAAAAAAGATTTACTAATTATTACTTTGATCTTAGGCCCCTACCTCAAACAGTTTGGAAAAAGGGTGGTAGATTAGTACAAAGTTCTGATCGAATAACACAAGGAAATTATGGAAAGTCACTTATTATAAAAGTTGTCGATTTTGACGATGAAGGTGCTTATACCTGCGAAGTCAGTAATGGAGTTGGCGAAGCTAAATCTTATTCTATTAATCTCAAAGTATTAGGTAGGTAAATTATTCTAAAATGAATTGTTTTTGTAACACTATATTTTTCGAATCAGCTGTGCCGTATTTCATCAAAGAACCTGAAAGAGTAAATGCTGCTGAAGATGAGACAATTGAGTTTCACTGTGTTGCTGGTGGTGTACCAGAGCCACAAATTAAATGGGTACACAATGGAAAACCTATTGAGGAATCCCCTTACAATCCTAGAAGAATGGTAGATAACAATAAAATTACAATTAAAGGATTAATAAAGAATGACACTGGAAACTATGGTTGTAACGCTACTAACAGTTTAGGTTATGTGTACAAAGATGTTTATGTTAACGTATTAGGTAATTATTTTTAAAACTTAAAAAACGATCAGGATTAACTTTTTAACCTTTGCGCAGCATTGGCACCCGAAATTACTGAGTCTCCTAGAGATACCCAAGCTGTAGATAATCAGAATGTAACTCTGATATGCAGAGTACTTGGTGCTCCCAAGCCAAATGTTAAATGGATCCAAAACGGAAGAGAACTTACTGGAGGTCGATATGATGTTCAAGGAAATGGTGATTTGATTATTGCTGACGTACAGTTTGATGATAAAGGCAATTATACTTGTTACGCAGAAAATAAACTGGGAAATACAAGCGCTAGTGCCAGATTAGATATCAAATGTAAGTTTTTTTTTATTATAATTATTATACATTCACATATGAATATAAATGGAATTATATTAACTGCATAACCAGTTAGTAATGATTATACGGAATGTTGACATTAACACACCAAAAATCAATATTCATGTTCCTTCTAGACCAGCCATATTCAACCTTTTTTTCTTTCGGGCCACATACATATATATTTGCCATGTTGCACGGGCCACAATATTTTAGGATGATAACCCTTTATTTAGGCCATCCATTTAAAATTAGTTAGTGGGAATCTTTAATAAATAAAATACAAAACATAAATGCCTATCGGGTTACTGCAAAACCAAAATAACTCACATGTTCAAAGCTTCGAGAAAACGCTGTTCAAAAGGTTAAAATTTAATAAAAAAATCAGTAAAGGTTTTAAACTGTTTTAACCAGAAGTGGTACACAGCAAGTTGTTATCATGGACTGCGTGTACAATATATGGTCGCAAAATATTATTTATGAAAACCTGGCAGATTTTATAAATTATTGCCATAAACTGCGGCCTATTTTTAAAAATTTGTTTTTTTGAATAGTTACAAACCGTACTATATTATAAAAATGTATAATTTTGCAAAAACTATGTTCAAAATGTTGTGTCAAAAAAATGGTACACACGGTTTTTTACAAAGTCTAAAAACTACCTATACCAACATTGGATTTTTTTTATTTTATCTGACAATTGTGTGTAGCAGAAAAAACAGTTATTGCATAAGAACTTCTTACTATATGCCTGGCATGATGTATTTACTCTCTTGGAATACTTCATTATTATCTTCCATTTCTTTCGCTGAGTGTTTTGTACCACTTAGTGGATCTTCCTCTCTTGTTTTCTTCAGTAATTTTATGGTTTCTTTGAGGGTTATCTTGCCTTATTTGTCTGCATTTGACGAGAGCGGATTTTTTCAAAATGTTTGTTCACGATTTGTGTTCACAGGTGTATAGTTTCATAATAGTACCTAAAGTTTCGTCCATCTATTGACGACTTGCGAAACTGTTCCGTCAGAATTTATTCACGACCAGACCAACCGTTATAAGCATTTTAAAACTTCATGTAGTTGTGTTTGTATAGTGAACACACCAGATAGAATCAATACATGTTTCGTGCCCATATAGAGACACACAGTTTGTGGGTAAATACTAATTGTGTACCACTTATGGTACGCACAGTTTATTGGGAGAAGCTACAAAAAAATAGCTCAGTTTGTAGTAAAAGATACGAAATATTTGCTCAGGGGCCAAAGTGTTAATAAACAATAACTCGAATAAAAAAAAGGTTTTCAAAACAACTAGTCTTCACAAAGTATAAACTAAGAATTTGTCGATTTTTAACAAAAAAAAAAAACTTTACTTTGCTTATTTTAGCTGTCTACATACTGGTCATAATATTCAAGGTCTGTGTCACTATCTTCAATGGAAGGTTGAGGTACAATGTCTCTAACATTATTGTATACAGGTAGATTGTGACAACAATGGTGAAATTCAACAGGTCTAGCACCTGATTTGCAAAGTTTTAGTAAATCTTGACATTACTAATGTCTTGCACTTTTTTGTAAGTTTTTTCAAAACTATTTTTTTTTAACCCTTTCAGGCATCCTTCTGCCGGTATGGCTTGGGTTTTTCAAGCAATGCGAAAGCTGGTGTTTAGGTAATTTAAGAAGTGCTTTTGATCGTGTTAACGTCAGCATCCCTGCTCGTTACACTTTGATCAATTACTCGTTACGGCTTGACCAATCAATCATTCACCACAGCGATTCGGATATAACGTGTTATATTCTATTGGTTTTTGAGGGTTAGCTGTATCGTGGAAAGAAAGGGTGACATAATCATCTTGTCAAACCAATCGAGAAAGGCAAGAGACTGCTCTTGGCAAAATACAACAAATAGCTTCGGCAAAATGTTCAAGTATTTCAACAAATACATTCAACAAAAATAAGTATTCTGGTTTTTATCTTGTTTCGGCAAACACACTATTACGAATCGGACTAAACATTTAGCAAAAATAAGATATCTCTTATCTGGTTTAGGTAGACACACTATTACCAACTGAATACAATGTTATGATTATATTTCTGTATAAATGCCTTTCATCTTGTTTGTGCATATTATGAATACATTAATATGGAGTTAGATTTTGTTTACCATCTGTTTATCATGACCTCGTTCACACTTGTTTTGTTTATGCCGTATATTATTTGAATTATAACTGGAAATGCCGAAAGTGGAGCTGTCTTGTTCTTGCAGTAACCCTATTATCCAAACGTTTCTTTAAAAATTTGCGTGATATTTAGCACAGCGACCAATGAATGTTTTCGCGCATTTTGTTCAAAATTTTAAAAAAAGAAACTAGTTTTAAAAGGAACCTTCTTAATAATAGTGTTAGGGGCCGCAAAAAGCTTGGAGGGCCGCAGGTTGAGTATGGCAGTTCTAGACAAACAAGGCTTATTCAGCCTTTCAATATTAGACAACATCGGACTAACTACGGACATAATTCTTTTCTATCAAAGTCTGGTAGATTTGCTAATCAGTATTCTGATAGGTTGGACTGCTTTGATAATCAAAGAGTCTTTAAATCCCAGCTTAAATCATGTATGTGATATTTTAATGTGTCTAGATAATTTAATTTAACTTATTTACAATTGTTATTTTTTTTTTTTTTTAATATTTATTTTTTCTTGTTTATGTTAATTTTATGGTAATTTTTATTTATTTGTTTCAACATTTCTCTAAGTGTAGGTTAGGTTCCCTTTTATAAGGGGTGTCTCAGAAATATTTTCGTTTATTGATTTGTTCGCTGGCGCAATAGGTACATTCCCGAAAAAGAAGACAGTCGGCAAACGGAGGTCGACAGTGTTAAGTTTTAGTTGCAATGGAGCAATTTACGGGGCTGCAACGCGTTTTATAAAAACAATTATTCTTATATTCTTGTAGGTCGTTTGTACAGAAATTATTATAACATAGCAAAATTTAATTAAATATTCGTTAAGAAAGTTTGAGGAGTACTGGAAATTAAATTTTCACTTGGGATATCTTTCATTCTTGCTATGTTATAATAATTTCTGTACAAACGACGTGCAAGAATATAAGAATCATTGTTTTTATAAAACACAGGAATACACTGTCGACCACCGTTTGCTAACTGCCTTCTTTCTCGGGAATGTGCCTATTTCGTCAGCGAACGGATTAATGAATGAAAATATTTCTGAGAAACCCTTTATTAAACCTGTATTTTGTATTTTAATTGGGCAATTGCTTGTTGATAAATAAATAAGTCGTCGCCAAATGCAGCAGAGATGCTAATTTAGTTCAAGAAATTAATTCTAAAAATGTTTTCAAAATTGGTAAAACTTTTTATTATTATTTATTACATTAAAGGTTCAATTTCATTTTAATATATTAAGAGTTAGGCTGAAGGATTCCGGTCGATGGTCATTTGGTAATTGTGTAAAAGTTGTACGATTACCAATAAAGACGCTTTTTTTATATATATATATTAAGAGCAGTTAAAGAATGAAATGTCAAATACAAAAATAGTGAATTTCTTTTGTAGTCAATATTTTTAAATCGTATATTTCGGATATTTAGAATTGTTCCAGTCTATCCAAATTTAAAGTGGTCATACAAAAAAAATACCATGATTTTTCTTTGAGCGCTATTTATTTACGATTTCAATTCTATACTTTTATTGGAAATTTATTGTGAATGTTATTGGTATATCTTTACAGCTCATACATATATCACGGACGGTCCAGAAGACTATGAAGTAGAGGCTAGAACTCCAGCAACATTTAGATGTAACGCTGTCGCTGATGAGTCTCTAGACCTTGAAATAATATGGTTAAAAGGTGACCAACCTATAGACTTCGAAGGCGAGCCTCGTTTTGTTAAGTCTTCAGATTATTCTTTAACGATTACGAAAACGCATGAACTAGATTCTGGTCCATATACGTGTTTAGCTAAAACCGAACTCGACGAAGCGTCAGCGAAAGCCCAATTGACAGTCCAAGACATTCCTAATGCACCGCAGATGCTAGGCATGGAATGTCACGTCAAAGACGCTACGATCAGCTGGATATCAATGGGAGATAACAGAGCATCTATTGCGTATTACATTATACAGTACAATACCAGTTTCATCCCAGAAGAATGGAAAGACTTTGGCCAAGTACCCTCCGCCGATACCACCTACAATGTTCCTCTAGAAGCGTGGGCCAATTATACATTTAGAGTTATAGCTGTTAATAAAATCGGACAATCCAAGCCATCTTCCCACTCAGACGTTTGCACAACACCAGCTGAGGTAAGTAAACGAATTAAATTTTGTTGGCCTATTGTAAAGTCAGTAATACTTGATTTTGTGATGTAGGTGCCTCATAAAAATCCAGAAAATGTAAGAGGAGAAGGAGATCGTCCAGATAATTTAGTGATAACATGGACACCAATGCCCCAAATTGAACATGGTGCACCTGGTTTCAAATATCGTGTTGGTTGGAAAAGAGCAATAGATGGAGTAGACTACGAATATGTAGATATCTACGATTATAAACAAGACAGGTTCGTTGTTCCTAATCAACCTTCCTATAAGGAATACAAGATCGTAGTTCATGCAGCAAACGAACTGGGAAATGCAAATGTATCTCCTCAAGAAGTAATAGGTTATTCAGGAGAAAGTGAACCAGAGAGAGCTCCTACCAACTTTACCTTATTAGCTATTCAAGGACCAACAACAGCATTGCTGAGTTGGGATCCTGTTCCTATAGAATCCGTTAGAGGTCACTTCAAAGGCTACAAAATCAAAACGTGGAGTGAAACTTCACTTATAGCTAAGGAAATCCAAGTCCAAGGAGGTAATTCCAAGGCATTAGTATCGAACTTTGATCCTTATACAAAGAATTACGCACAAGTTTACGTCTTCAATGAAAAATATAATGGTCCACCAAGCGAAACGCTTTCTTTTGATACCCCTGAAGGAAAACCAGGAGAAATGCAAGACTTGGAAGCTTATCCTTTAGGTTCCACTGGTTTTCTTTTAAAATGGGATAAACCAGACAAACCCAATGGTATCCTCACGGGGTACAACATTTACTGGTCTAAAGTTGACTCTTTCATGAAAGTCGATGAGCCAAATCCTAGAAAACCTCAGATTACAGATCCTAATGTGAAGCGTGCCAAACTTGGTGGTTTAAAAGATGGCGCAAAATATCGTATCTACATAGCCGCGACTACAAAAGCTGGAGAATCCAAGCGATACTTCATAGAAAGAAATACTCGACAACAAGGCAATCATAAACCTTCCAAACCCACCTTTGAATGGGCCATAGTGAAACCTGGTCCACCTACTTCTGTTAAAATCCACTGGTTTCCTGCTGAAGATGGTAAAGGAGGCACTAACTTTTTTGTGAAATATAGGAAACAAGGAGAATCTACCTGGGAACAATCTCGCCACGAAAAAAATGAAGACTGGATTATAATTTCTGGATTAGAAGGCTCGACAGTTTACGAGTTTATTGTCACCGCAGTTGATGGTCCAAGTTCCCAGTTCTATACAGACAGTGATATACGAGAAATTAATACTTACGATATCGAAGGACCGATTATTAGAGCTAAAGAAAATGTGGCTACAGCTGGTTGGTTTATAGGAATGATGCTCGCCATAGCTTTCTTATTATTAGTACTTATCATTGTTTGCATTGTGAAGAGGAACAGGGGTGGGAAATATGCCGTACATGAGAGAGAACAGGCCAATGGTAGACATGATTATCCTGATGAAGGGGGCTTCCATGAATATTCACAACCGTAAGTTAATATAGAAAAAATTATATTTTATTCCAAAAATTATTTTCAAAATTTTTAATTGAAGTGAAGTCAGTAATTGTTAGTATATTTCCACACACTAAAGTAATGCCGTGATGCGTTAGAGCAGGAACAGACGTTGGAAAGGCTTTTGGTATGTGCAGAGATCGTAAACGTCAAATAACGTCGGACGACTTCGAAAATTTCGCAGTAATGTTTATCTGCCAGTGTCGTATCATTTATGGGCTAGAATAATTATTTAAACAAGTATTATTAATGATATTCCAAATCATAATTTTACAAAATTTTCACATAGCCATTCACAATTTAAAAAACTTGTTATTAGCATCTATAAAATAATTTTCTATGCCAATATATCGCATTCATTTCGGTTAGCTTCGTGGCAAATCTGTCAGTTGTGGGAGAACTGTGGAAAGCCTTTCTAACTTCTGCTCTATACATATACTAGTTCAAGTCACGTGACATGGAATTTGAGTTTTTCTCTTAGTCCTTTGTTTTTTATTTTTAAATTGGTCACATTTGAGAATTTAAATTTATTTTCTTTAATTTCATCTGTGATAAAACTCATGAATTTTTCCTTTCGTATAATGTAGAGGTCAACCGTCCAAAGTTTGGTAACAACCACGCTGAAAATTTGACAGTGTCGTAGCGCTGGAGTGATTTTCTTTTGTCTAGCAGTATTTATGCATGCGTTGAGACAGTTGCAAAGTTGTCTTTCTTTCATACTTTTTTTTTGTTAAAGTGGGTAGTAAGTATCATCCAGTTTAGTTCTATAGTTAGTATAAATGAAAAAATGAATTTGCTACATTGCTATACAGTTGACGTTTGTGTAAAACGTCATGTGTCAAAATTAAAAAAAAAAAATTATTTCGTCGTTTTGTTGATTGCAAACTATGTCAAAATAGGTCTTTTCCTTTGCATCGACACTGTAGCACTGAGCTACGTCACTTCTGAAAATATTGTTTCTATCCATACAATTTGTATAAATGGAACGATATTTTCAGAAGTGGTGTAGCTCAGTGCTACACTTTCGATGCAAAGGAAAAGACCTATTGTATGTTTTGATGTCCCGGCACCTTGACAACAGAAGTCCCATTCCGATTATGTACGAATGAATAAAAACAAATAAAAATAAACAAAAACAAATTCAAATAAATTCAAATAAATTCAAATACATTCAAATACATTCAAATAAATTCAAATAAATTCAAATAAATTCAAATAAATTCAAATAAATTCAAATAAATTCAAATAAATTCAAATAAATTCAAATAAATTCAAATAAATTCAAATAAATTCAAATAAATTCAAATAAATTCAAATAAATTCAAATACATTCAAATACATTCAAATACATTCAAATACATTCAAATACATTCAAATACATTCAAATACATTCAAATACATTCAAATACATTCAAATACATTCAAATACATTCAAATACATTCAAATACATTCAAATACATTCAAATACATTCAAATACATTCAAATCAATTCAAATCGATTCAATTCAAATCAATTAAATAAATAAGTGAATCTTTTTACGGCTCGCCCTGGCATGAAAAATATGAGAAGTGAATTGATAAAAACGACAAATCTTGATGTCCCGACACCTCGACAGCTTAGTTCCCACTTGAAGGCCCAATCCGACTATTTAACTTCTATCGTACTTTCGAGAACACTCTTTTTTTACAAGACATTTATTTCCATGGGCGCCGACAGGGTGGGGGGGGGGCAAAGCGGGGCAGTTGTACATCTGGAAATTTCCAAGTTCCCAAAAAAAAAATTATAGCAACTTCTGTCAAACAATTATTGGGGCATAAGTTTAACTGATAATAGTGGTAATTCTATAACGAATATGTTAAAATTTAATGTACGTTAAAAATATAACGTATGTTAAATATGAAAAGTAATTCTGTAAATTCATGAAAAATTTTAACTTGTCATAATTAACATAAATGTGTTAATTTTACGCGTTAAATCGAGAATATTAACAGCTGCTAATTAGTAGGCTTTAAAACTTAACATATAAGAAATTATGACTTTTGAATGTTTAGTTCAACTTATAATGCAAGAAAATCATGAAAATGAACCATTTTGAAAGTACTCAAGTAATTTTAACAGTTGAAAATTCTATTTAGAAATTATATTTTTTATAGTGTATATAAACTTTTTGTAGTTAGTAATTGATTTGCCGTAGAAGGGCACTATTATAAGGTTACTGGGGTTAGTTTTGTTTATATTGAAAATTGCTGGCCTACCAAATAGTTTATAAAGTAAATTCGGCCGTACTTTTTTTCAATAATCCTGTGCAAAAACAGACAGACACAATAAATATAAGAGGAATGACATTTATTTGACAGACCTTAAAACATAACCAAACTTTTATGGCAAATTTGAACTACTTTTAACGTATGTTTATTTTTTCTGTAAATTTAACGTATTCATAATTTTATTTTTACAGAATTACTACTAATATTAGATTGTATCGAGTTCACAGCCAATACTAGATAAGTCGGCAAAAATAGAAAAATTACTGTTATATAGATATCATCAAACAGTTTTTAGTGCTCTTTCTGTTAATATAGGTACTCCGTTTTGTGAAATTTATTATCTAACTGGTATTCCGAAAAATCGATATTTGAGTAAAGATCAATTTTTTTTTTAAACTCTTTTATTAATCAATAGAGTGAAAATTTGATAATTTGATATCATATTGTCTCTATTATCAGTACATCTATAGCAAACGTCAATTTAGAAAAAAAAATAAAACAATCCATTTAATCGTAATATGTACTATAAACTGACGCAGGCAAACCATCAGTCATTTATTTGTAATTAAAAGAACAAAAAATACTTAAACGGCTATATCTTCATAACTAAATTTTTTTATCGGGTTTTCGCTCTGGACCTTTGGTATATTCTTTAGAGTATCTAATCCCTTGAAACTGTAAATTCGGCAGCATTTGACAACCAAGCCTAAGCTCATTATATTCCATATCGTATCGTATTACACGATAGCGGATAGCATCTATAAATCCCTACATTTCTGTAATTTGTTTTAAAGAATTCACAATTTTGCATTCTTGTCCCCCCCCCCTAGAAAAAATTCTGGCGATATTCTAAACCCTAACATCGAAAAGAAACGTCAAATCGAAGATTTAATGATACGCTGTTAGAGCAAATTTCGTATCAAATAAACTTTCCGTTTTTATATAGTTTCTTTGCACAAAACAAAAACAAATTGCATTTTTCAAGATTTATTTTTAGGCCACTATGTCCGCTTTTTCCTGTTTAGTCAGAATCAGAATAATAGCAATGTTGGCACATGATAAAAGAAATGGGCAAATAAAGGTATGACCCTTATTTAATTTATTATTATTTTTTAAATATAGAATTTCGTCACGAAATACAAAAAATCTTTGTTGACCAACTATACAAACAAGGCCAATGTTGTATGTTTATTTATTGCAGTAAATCTCTTCGGATCGACATTACTTTGAGTTTCCTAACCATGAAAAAGTTATCATTTTTATGAAGTTGTTTTGAAGTTTGAACTGCCAATATTAGATTTGTTTAGGAATATGGCTCATGTAGCCTCTCCCACCTCGAATTTTTAGAACTATTATGGATTTTCTTTATCTAGTTTGATCTTTTGCAGTAGATTTCATAGCTCGGAGTGTAGTTAATTGCCCTTTATTTTTATTCCCCAAGTGTGAGAAATGTCATTCTTGATAGACCACAGTAACACAATACTTTCACTGCAGTTAATCATAAATAGGTTTGTTAAGTCTACAATGCCCTGTTAATAGACCTACTAATATTCTAATATTTTTCCTATTCTGGCTTAGTAGATGCTCAGTGAGTTTTGCATCTTTCCTTTTAAGGGGGTCCTCTAGTTTCTCGGTTGTTTTTTTACAGCTTTTTCAATAATTTTTTACGGGCAAACCATCGAAATAATAAATCTCATTGTTTTTACATAATCTTTATTAACATTTAAATGAGCTTTACAAATTTTTTTAAGACAAAATATATAATAGAAACAAAGTTATAGTGGCTGACAGGAGGACATCAAGTGAAGGAGATGCTTGACGGTGACCAAGATTGCGGCTGTTTTGCTTATCTGAAATCAAAAAACCAAGCGGCATTTTAATCTTCATATTTAAGACTAGCGATTGAACCAGAATCAATTCTAAATTACAAAAATTAATTTTTTTATACACTTTTGAAAATTAAATTCTATTTTTTAACCATTTTTTCTTAAGTTTTTCGCTCGTAGAAAAAAAAACTATCAAAGCAATCATGATAATCCTAGTTCAATCGCTGGCTTATAATATATTAAAGATGTCATATAAATGTGAACAATATCGGTGCAGTAGTTTCAGAAATATCGTGGTCACCGTCTAGCACCTCCTTCACTTCCTGTCGACCACTATAACTTTGAATCTATTATATATTTTGCCTTCAAAAAATTTGTAAAGCTCATTTAAATGTTAATAAAGATTATGTAAAAACAATGAGATTTGTTATTTCGATGGTTTGCCCGTAAAAAATTATTGAAAAAAGCCGTAAGAAAACAACCGAAAAACTAGAGGACCCCCTTAAGCACTCTCTGCCCTGGTGAATTGATCCACCAGTCTTCAGATTTGTTTAACATCCATCAAATTTTAAATGAATGCCTATGTAAAGGCCAAGGAATTTGGAGCATTGCACATTATTAATGGTCTGTTCGCTGAGAACAAGATCATTAAAAGCAAATATGAAACTACATTTGTTTTTTTTGTGTGTTAAAGCTCAAGCAATTAGAGTCACGTCAGTCATTAATTGTTTTGAGATCATATGAAATATAGTTTTTAAGATCTTCAGCATCTTGTCCATTCCAAAGAACTGTGGTTATCATCGGCAAATATTGTAAAATTTCCATAAATTTTAACTTCTGTTAAATCGTTAATATGTAGCAAGAAAAAAACTGGTCCTAAAACAGATCCTCGTGGAACTCCATGTTTTAATTTGGAGCTTTTCAAAATTATACCTGCTAACTTTACAACTTCTGTTGGATTTGATAAGTAACATTTAAAGCAATTTAATGTTGAATTTCGGAAACCGTACATGTACCATTTTTCCAAAAGTATGTTATGTCTAACACAAAGGCTTTCGAATAGTCGCAAAAGACAGCTGCCCTTGATTTAAGCTAGGCTTTTTCCAAATTAGAAAAAGCATCCATGGTGTTCTTTGATGCTTAGAACATAAACTGACAAGTAGATAAAATATGTTCAGTAACAACTTCAATGATTCGAGTCTTTACAAGCCTATGATTTTGGATACGGGCCTGAAGTTAGAGGGGTCATGCAGACTACCATTCTTATGTAAGGATATGACGATTACTCTCTTTAAACATGCTAGATCCTAATTTTAATAGTAGGAGTTTCAAGTTTTCAGAGCCGTGTGTAGTTATCACGGACATGACTGCTTTCTTTGTCGGTCATGGCCTACTTTGGAAAATAATTGTGGATTTATCTTTACATTTAAAATGAATTTAAGATGTATAGTCTACTTTTATCTCGTGTCTACCACTGACGAAATACTACATGTACCTGCGCCAGCTAACACGTGATGTGCAAACTTTCGCTGGTGAACCTCTAATCTTTAACCAATTGCATAATTTTGTTTATTTTTTCACGGGATAGTGGGAAGTTATCTAAGCGTAAAGTATGATACTAATACCACAGCTTATTCAATACCAGCTACTCATCTTTCTGCGGCATCTTTTGAACTTCGAAAGTCAAATGGCTTTAGGTTGACATGCCGAGATAAGTAGCTGGTATTGAATAAGCTGTACTAATACTATTACTGCACCCGGTTATAAACATGAAAGAGCATTATTTGTACATTTCAAATACATTCGTTCTTTGCAATGTTAAATTAAACATAGGACATCTAATGTCAATTTTGAGGTATACAGGGGTTTCTTAATGGTTTTATCTAAAACCTCTAACCTTTAATAGTATTTTGTATAGATTTGAACTATTTTAATATTTTTAGTTTGGATAACAAATCCCATGGTCGTGCCTCTATGAGCAGTGATCACAAACAAGGGCCCGAAAGCGATACAGACTCCATGGCCGAATATGGGGATGGAGACACGGGTAAGTTTTTATATAAAATATATTAACCTTTTTGGTATTACTATAAGGATCATTACTCATTACATCTATGACATGTTTTGTTATATAAAAGCAAATTTCTAAAATAAAGGCTGGGAATAATAATTTAATTCTATTATTAATTTTACCGTGTCCGATATTTTTTTTATTGTGCGGAATAGTCATAGATCTCAGAAATCCTAGATACAAATATTTCATCTGCAAGTGCCTTTACAGTGTCTCTAGTAGAAAAATTAAAAGTATCTTCAAATTTGTTCGTGACACTAGTCATCTATAGATTCAATTCTACGAAAATATTTTGGGATTTATCTATCTTGTTGATTTTAAATTCTTTAACATTCTTTTATTCTGAAAATTTCACTTTGTACTAAATGTGATTTCGACTGCCCCTGGAGTTTGTCCGTCCTGGTGCAAGGACACACCACCAGACCTTGTCCAGGACTGGCTCTGTATGCATTGGTCTCAGACTTTATATAGATATTTTTTGGCCAATGGCTGATGCTTATACAAGATATACATTACTGATTGATTACAGCATCGAAGATGGTGGTGGATCGATTTTAGATTTTGTGTTTCCGGTATTTTTTTTAATGGTTATGAAATGTATAATATGCAACTTAAAAAATAATTACTTTTCAATGTTATTCAAATTTACCTTTTAATATAAATTTTCGTTCTGTTAAAATTCAAACGTATTTTTGTTGCTGTTTAGGATATTTTATAATAAGATAGCATATTATGCATCTGAAAAAAAAAAAATGCTGAATGACCGTTTTAATATTTTTATTGTTAATTTTTTTTATATTTATTTTTTTATTTCTCTTATTTTTATCATTCTGTAGAGGGTATGAATGAAGATGGGTCATTTATTGGACAATACGGGCGAAAGAGAGGTCAAGGAGAAACAACATCACAAGGATTTGCAACACTTGTTTAATGTGTAAGGTTTTGTTTTGGTATAAATACTAACGATTATTTAGAGCTATTACTAACATCTACAACAAGTTGGGTAACTTAAGTTTTTATTAAAAACAAAAATCAAAGACATACGTATGGTATTGAAATGTTTGAATTATGCATTTTGTCTAGGATGAGCATAACTCTATGCCTGCTATTTTGCCAATCAAACTTCTTATTTGCAATGTTGCCCAACGGAAATATTTCCTTACTGTATATTATGTTCAAGGTGTTTCAGTAAAGGTTTAAATATTGTTTATAAATACTCGGGTCTTTTAGTGGTCAATGTGACAATCATGGTGTGTACTTTTAGTTAAATAATTTTTTCTAGCTTTGACATATAAAATGACATCTTTTGTAATCGCAGAAAGTGTCAAATATTCTACTTTATGCAACCAATTTTATAAAGTTGAACATTATGGAACTGCTTACGAAAAAGTCAATATGTCGCCAGTTGTGAAAAGAAAATAAAAATTAACCATTTTTTGGTTTTAAATCAATTTAAAAATTCATATTAAAGAAATAAAGGTTGACTATAAACATTGAGTTTGTTTACAATCTAGTAACAATTATCTTTCAGTTCCTATTTTCCATCTTAATTCTGAACAGAATAATCGAAAACACGGATCCACTGTCACTCAATACACGACAAAATAACTCACTTGCTTGAAAACTAACAAGTTATAATGAGACAACCACTCGATAAATAGTGGTGGATGAGTTGAGAAATAGCTATTTATGCAACCAGTTATTTAATGTAACGAGTGAATCTTTGCGGGACGAGCAGAGCAAGATTCCTAAAATGAACGAGTTACATATAACGGCATTTCGTAACATGTTACATACAAAATGTTTTCTAATTTTGACATGATTATTTATAAAATTGTTTTTTGCTGGTATCTATGCAACCATTATTACTTTTATGTATTGTTAGTAGCATATACATAACTTCATTCAATTTATTGACAAACAAAATCATATTAATTTATTCTCAACGTCTTTTAGTGTGTTTATATTGTTTGTTAAAGTTATTTAGTTTTCAAGAAAGTGGGTTATTTTGTCATGTTTTGTTTTGATTATTTTGTGCAGATTTAGAATGGAAAATAGGGACCAAAACATTATTACTAGGCTGTTACATATTTACTATTTTTGAGATATAAAGCAAACTTATGTTTTTTTTTTAATGGAACACCTTGTATATTGTATATAAAATTTGTCTATTTTTTACCTTTTCAAAAATATATAATAGTATGCACTTTTTCTCAGAAACATACAAATAAATGACAATTTTTTTAAATCAAATGCATAATTTAATGGTAGGCCATTGATAACAATAATAAACAAGTGAAAGTTATGTATTACCTTTTATTAAAGAGACCAGAGATGTAACACACACCGGAGTTTAACCTGCGTGAATGTTTCCATTTTCTAAAGAAAGGTTAACGGAGTAGTGGAACTGGGAGGAGACCCGAACTCTGTGACAGGGACGGACTTTGTTTATTACCCATTAGATTTACTAAAAATGTTGTATTAGGAAATACAATTAAGGTGATTTTTTAATATCAAAGAGATACAACGACATTGTATGCAAAGAGAAGATAAAAGTTCTTTTATAGAAAATTTCATTAGCTTTTATTTACTACGGACTACAATAAAATGTTGAAATAAAATGTCAATTAAGCATGTGCGCAGTCGAATACTGCAAATAAAACCTTGTGAGTTGAACATTATATTTTTTCTACGGCTAGTACATAATATTAAAAATTAGTCAAAATAAGAAAATGCTGTTTTGTGTTATAGTAGTCTTAGAAAAGGGTATATTATAGCTTCTTTCTTTAGGAATATTAATTGATATAGAACACATAAATCTCTAGAAATGCATATTTCAGAAACCGGATATTTTAAAATTTATCGAAATAAATTATCAATCTATTTTTTTTTTCGTATTTCTTTTAAAATCGTTTATTCGATTACCTTTGAAAAATCAAAAATAATCGATTATTCGAAAATAATCGCTTAACCGACAATAATCGATTAAGAAGCCGATTCTACGATAGATCGATTTTCCAAAAAAATAACCGAATTATCGATTATTTTCAAATATTGTTTTTTTTTTTTTTTTTTCGTATTTCCTTTAAAATTAAGTATTCGATTATATTTGAAAAATCTAAAGTAATCGATAAATCGAAAATAATCGATTAATTAATAAGCTGATTAACCAATAAATCGATAATTCTAAAAAATAACCGAATATACTCGACCAATCGATTATTTTCTTATTTTTTTCGTATTTCTTTTAAATAAATTATTCGAATACCTTTGAAAAATCGATTCATTAAAAAACCGAATAAAAGATAAATCGTTTTTTCTAAAAAAATCGATTATTTCATTATCTTTAAATAATTTATTGAAAATATTCGACTAATCGAAAATAATGAATTAATAATAACGGATAAATCGATTTTCATAAAAAAAAATGCAGAATAATCGATCAATCCGTGATCAACTAAATTTGCTTTTAAACAAAGAAAATATCTCAAAAAACGGTTGCCTTCTTTGTGGATATCTAACAAGAAAAAAATAAAATGATAACAGATTTTCATCGCCATAATAGCTTACTTACCTTTGCAAATATATTTCCGAAGCTTCTTCAGAATTTTCATTACTTTGTATAAAACACTAGCATATAATATTTTTCATAATTTTTTGCACTGCCATTATTCAAAGAAATTGATAAATATCAATTAAATAAAAATACCAAAAGAACGAAAATAAACTGCTTTATAAACCAAAAGACGATCCAAAAACCATGATAGACAAATATTTGACATTTATGTTTGTTTCTTGTCATAAACAATATCCATGGCCTACTATTAAATTATGTATTTAATTTTTGAAAAGGTAAAAAAAGACAAATTTTATAATCTATAAAGATACAGTGTTTCATTTAAAAAAAAAACATAAGTTTGCTTTATAACTCAAAAATAGTAAATATGTAACAAAAATTATCTACACCACTGCATTCTACGGAAAAAAATCTATAAAAATGTTATTTTACTTTTTCGGTGCAGGATAACGGAGATACGAGGCGGGTCCCAAAATGCAAAATTTTCAAAAATGCCCTGTATCTTAAAAATTAAAAGGGCTATGAAAATTTGTTCACATTTAGTTTTACGAAAAAGTAGCACAGTGTCGCGAAAACCACAACCCTCTATCTTTAAAAATAATGGAGATACCCCGCAAAAGTACCCAAAATGTGACACCCTGTACACAAATTTTAAAAACACTTAAAATTGGCTCCCATTATATCATAACTGTAAACATAGAGAAATTAAGAACTAAATTAGGAAGAAAGTGAAATGAGAAAGACTTTTTAGATCGGAAAAACTACATTTAGTTTTTCAGAATTTCCAAATCTCCAACTAAATTAGAACCTGTAACTATCGAGAGTAGGGGGCGTTATATTAATTATGAGGGTATATGTAATAAGCTTCAAATGGTTAACTGGAACTATTGGGAAACTGACATTGATGTAAAATATCTGCATTTCATTAATAATTTTATTAAAATACTAAACAAATTTCTCCAAAAAAAAAATGGTTAAGATATTACCAAATTATAAAGAGTGGTGGAATGATATTATAAAAAATCTTTGATGGGCAGATAGTTCAAAAAATATTTAACTAATAGAAATAATGAAAACTGGGAAGCCTATAAACAAAACAAAAAAAAAAACATTGCAGAATGCCAGGTCAATTGAACACATTTTAGTAATATTTATCAAAGAGGCCCAAAATTTAATTATTTATATATTTTCTTTTCGGATTAAAATTCCCCATTGTCGAGTTATATACAGATAGACTTATCATAATATAATCAATAATTTAATTCTGCAGAAATATTGCATAAACAATCCATGATGAAAATTATAACATAATTGACATTTGTCAAATTTTGAAGTTGAGATCATTAGGCATTCCAACGACCTGTCAAACAATAGGTGCCAGTGGGAAATTCTTGTATATTTAAGGAGGTAGCGACATAGTCTTGCAATTTGGACGCTATTTTTATTCGAAGTAGTACTTGTCAAGCCTGCCAATTTATGAAGAAATGTATAGGTGGGTTTTATAAATATTATTTTTATTGTGTTTGACATAAAATATTTAAATGTAATCCATTATTCATGATTTTACGTAAAGTAGATAGAATACACCATATGTCGCCACCCTTAGATATACCAAACCTGCCCACTGGTAATTCATTTGTTTGGAATGCCTAATTGTTACCTATCTAATCGCAGTTTTGACATAAATGAAAATACTAACTCTTGTGTTCGTATATTCGATTTACGTCATAATAAGTACTCGCTGTAATACATAACTACAGAAAATCGAGCGTTTTCATTGATTCATATTGATATAGTCATATCACAATACTTGCTGTCACGTCTCTTTTGTTAAAACTATGGAATATTATTACTCTTATTAATATATAAAAAATAAACTAGTAATAATTAATAAAAACTAAGTAATCCAATTTGAAAATATCATAAATATTCGCAATATGTTCTCTTAAGGTATAATGTGAGACTCTTTGGTATTTTCTGCTCTTATTTACATTGAATAGAAAACTGAAACAATTTTTAAAAATACGTCAAATGGAACAGAAAAAATTAAGCTGAGCAATCATAATTTTATTTCGAAAGTAATGAATATTTTGTTTTTTTCGTTGATCTGTACAGGTACGATTTACTTTGCATGTTAATAATGGTTTATTGGTATTTCATATACATATATTTTTGTAGTTTTAAATATAATTTTTATTTACATATTGGAGACGAATACGATCAGTGCCAGTGGCACTAATTTCATATTAAAATTTCCTCATAATGTTTTGTCATTGATTTTCCCTTTATAATAAAAATATCAATCCGACATAGTCGTGATGTCACGATTACAACACTAATCGATTGTTTTTGGTTGTTAGGTCGATTTACGGAGGATGGGTCTTTCATAGGACAATACGTGCCTGGCAACATGAAGCAATTGGGTCTTTCTTCGGCCGTGCAGGGATCAAACAATAACGCCATGGGCACTTACGTTTAGATACATCGTGAATGTTGACTAGCTTTATGTGTTGTCTCCTCAAATAAAAACTCTTAACTCTATTATAATTCATCAAATTAATGCCATTAGAATGTGTTCTTTTTCGCAAAAAAGCAGTGATTTTTTTTATATTGATTTCGTCCATATCAATAATCTCTAATTATTATCATAATCAAAATAACTGAATTGTATGTATAATGTAGTAGTGTAGGGAATTATTTTATTAAAATTCAAAGACTTTTTTTGTTAGAACAGTATTTTTTTTTTTCTATATTGTAAATTGCTCAGATTTCTGGCAACATTTATGTACTCAATTCAGTCTCATTATCTTTGTGTAAGTTTTTATACTTTTTTATATGGAAACTCGTTGATATTTTTAAATGATTTATCTTTGACACTATTTGGTATTACATGAATATGCTAAACTAGACACAACATAAGTTTTCTAATAGACTATGTGCATTTTGAATAATTCGTCGTTAACAAGACGAACAGGCGTATCTCAAAATTACAAGATTTGAGTAATTAAAGTTTAAAGATTTTTATTAACTTTAGTCTTAAAAACTAGCTTAAAAAATACTAATAACAAAATGTTGTGTCAGTGCCAATACATAACGTATATAAATATATATTCTGAAAACGCCTTTTGATGGGCCCTACTCAAATCCTGGAATTTTTGAGATGCGCCCCTTCATCATGTTAGCGACGAATTTTTAAAATTAAATGTTAAAATTATTGTTTTTGATTTTGATTAAGTGCCACATATAAATTAAAAGTTCTAATTGAACAGTCTCTCTAGTGGTTACTTAAATATACTTTTTGAATCTCACAAATTGAACAGATGTTGCTGAAAATGTTTTTTTAATACCGATAAAGTGTAAATAAATAAAGTTCTTTTTATAATTTCCCGACACTGCCTTATTTGACAAAATTTATTTAATAGTTGACTGTTTTCAAAATTTTATTGATTGACTAGATAATTTTTACCAAAAGTGAGCGTCACATCACAGTAGATGTGTATTTACCGGGCTTTATATTTTCGATTTTTGTTAACAATATCTTTAGCAGGGTATTTAAGAAAAATGTTTATATTGATATAACCACACACCATAGCCCATCTTGTTTTTGTTTTCAAATTCTAAGTAATTCTAACCTAACTTATAAGTAACTCTTTAATATTTAATGATTTTTGGGTTGTTTTACTTTTTCTTGCAGATTAATTCGTGCTCACCAAATAAAACATTATTTATACAATAAATGAATAAGACAAAATTTAAATAACGCTTTTTAATAGAAAATAATTTAATCATGAACATCTTAAATTACTCTTCTTGACATAACTTCGTTAACCTAAGCAATGAAGCGCTAAGGACAGGGGTGGGGCCAATTCGATGTCCTGATGATCCTCTTTCAATTGCTTACGGGTTATAGCTTGTATTTTTTAGGTTTTTTTACGCAAATGACTAGTCTGAAACAAAAAACTTCTTGTCCAGTCTTTATCTAGATGATAATTGTTGCAAAAAACTCGTTTGAGTACTACCCTAGTATTTATAGTTTACCCTTTAGAGCGTCTCCTGAAAAGAGGCACGTTTTGTCATTGAAGGCAACGCTCCCATGTTTTGCACTGATTTTATTTCGCAAGCCTTATGGCGTTATTGAAATTTTTCAAGAATCTTTATACCTGTATAAATACACTTTACAATACTTTTTTGTTCGAGTTGATAGCTTGACAATTAAGGCAATGGCGAGCACTCAAAATTGACGGATGTGTGTAAATGTCATCAAAGTTACAATCGCGACAATCGCGTCTCGGTCATACAATATTCGCATTAAAAATACACCCTTTGAGCAACATGAAATTAAATTTCTGATTGACTGCCGGGAAGTATTCATTTTCAAGGGAAATTATAAGTGTAACAAAATAGGGGTAACTTTGATGAAATTTACGAACGGCCTATTTTGAACGCTCCCCATTTCCTTAATTGTCGAGCTATCCACTCGAACAAAAAAACTATTGTGGTATTTATTCAGGTATAATGTGGTTTTTTGAAAAATTTCAATACGACCATTCGTTCGGTCCATAGCGCTCGCGAAATGAAGGCAGTGCAAAACATGAAAGTGTGACCTTCAACCACAAGACATGTCTTTCTTCAGGACGCTATAGAGGGTAAATTATAAATACAAGGGTAGTACTCTCGTGCGGTTTTTTGTTACAAATATCCTCTAGATAAAGACTGGACAATATTTTTTTTTTATTTTTGACCAGCCGTTTGCGCAGCGCTCTTAAAAAAAATTAAAAAAAGGATCATTAGGATACCGAATTGGACCAACATACCAATTTTTAGCTTTATTTCAATTTTTAACAAGTAAATCTACTCTATATCTATTAAAAGAAGTTATTTGAAATTGTACAGGTTAATGTTTTATCAAATTTAAGAGAATAAATCTGAAAGAAAAGGCAAGATATCCTTAGTACTGGATAATATCTCACAAAATACTTCTAATCTTCCGGAACTGTTTTTTTGGAAGTAGCTTCTGCTTCCTAGACTTCGAATGTAGTGTGTTCTATTTTCTGATATATTATCATGTTTGTACGCTGCTACATTTAAACAGGGTTTTTGATTGTTATCAGACTGATCTGACATTTGTTACATACAGGTGATGGTACGCAGAAAGTTTGAATTCCAATTAGCCACTCATATTTTTTAATATTTGCACTCAGCTTTAACACATTTAAATGAAAGAGACTGTGTTATATATTGAAAAAATGTGATGTTTTTATTATGTGGGCTAAATTTCTCAAACTCTGGTGATGTTATATATTTTAATATTACATGGTGATTGGCAAAAGTCTGGTTGGTCTTTATTAAAGATCCTGTACGTATATATAAATAACGTGTATATGTATGTATGAGTGGATATATTTTTAGAAAACTGACTTAAGGTTCAATAATTCTGACTATTTTGCGGAAACATTAAGCATTTGCAGCCAAAAGTTACACCTATATCAAACTATACAAAACGATGCTAACATTTTATATATATTTGTAAAAAATATAAGGTGATTCAAATATATGGAGGAATGATTCCGAAAAATTAAATTGTTATTGAATCCATTCCCCATTTTGGACATACATGTAAATTCGTGTAAGTTGATATGGTTGTATTTTTTCTGAATGCAGAAAAGATTTGTCTTACTTTCAAATTAGTACAGTAATTACCTCATTTTTTTATTATAACCTCAATTTTTGAAAGTCAATTATAAAACGATCTTCGTAACTGATGGTTGTGAATATTTTATTTTGAAAGCATAAAACCACAAAACAAAATTTAAAAATTTGATATAAGACAAATTTGACCCATTTGCGACACTGTTTTTTTTTGTAATAAAATCCGAAAAGGTAAAAAATAATTCTTTATTGGTGTTACTCTGTTTAAAAGTTATTTACAAGTAATTTTGACTTAGAGTCTGAATCTATTTTTCTATTTTCATGTTTAGTAAATCTATGGAATTAAAACTAAGAAAATAAGGATAATAAAATAATAGTCGGCAAATTAAATACTTAATGTCAACATTTTCTAAATTATATTTTACATTTCGCGATGCTGATTAAAAAATATAAAATATGTATAAAAATAAAATAACGTGCTCTTTTGGTTTAAAACCTCTTTCACAGTTTGTCTGAATAAAAGTATAACTTTTATATTTCGTCAAGCATTACAATAAAAATGCCTAATTCAACACCACAAATGGAAGTTTTAAACTTGCACAAATAAATCTAAAATTAATTATAGAAATGTATCAGACTTATGTTTGACTTAGTTTTAGTTCACTAGACCTACAATTAAAAATAAGTGGCAGTGTCGCAATGGATTTATGAATGTACTGATTGTATCGTAAAATTGCGAGTGGAGGATGAAACAGACAGGCGGTGCTAATATTATCGTGGTTAATTTTGGGCAAATTTGTTGCATGTTGTGTTTAAATGAACTGTCGTAAATATTTGACTTGATTTATAGCGAACATTCTGATTTGTTTTCAGAATTCTTATTACACTTAATAAAAACTGCTTCTTTCCGTATGTGTGACATATAAGAAAATATTTTGTAAGCACTATATACGATTTTTTATATGTATCTATTTGCAAAATTGCAGAACTATTGCTTTGCACTGTTGTTGGTTAGGTAATATATTTTAATACATTTATAATTATTATTATATATTATTATAACTGCGTTACTAGTTATTTGCGAAAATTAATTATATTTTTTGTACAAATAAAAGTTACGAAAACTGTTTCAGGCAGCTGAAAGTTGTATGTATGTATATATAGAGTGTCTCCAAAGGTCTCTGATATAGTTTAACTAATTTATTTATATAATTCTTTATATATGTTGTAAGTATTTGTAACAGTTTATTTTTGTTTTTCATTTATCGTCCACCCTAAAAAACTAATCTTTACATTCCGACCCTTGCGTTTGTGTGGAAAGAACAAAAATTTATAGATCTAAGCTAGACGACTTTTGGAAACACCCCTGTATATTGTAATTATGTTTTTCCGATTTTTTTTGCTTTTTTGTATAACACTATCTAACTTAGTTAATTTTTGTTTACCATGGTATGCAGTATAGTGATTTAGGCAACTTTTTTTTTCACCATGATCCTGGATGTGGTTGATTTTTAGTTGTAGATTTTTTATACAAAAACTGATTTAAAAAGTATTGAAATTGTCATATTTTTTGCACAATAAATAATTATTATTAAAAAGATTTTATTTTTTCTTGAAATTTACAATTTTTTATCTAATCCTGTACTATTTTATCAGAACGGGCCGAACTGCCAAAATTAATATTAGAATTCAAAAATACTGTCTGGTCCACCTAGCTTGTCAAATATTCAAAACCTTTGCCTAAATTGTCTAGTAGATCTCCTACAAAATAATTTTCGTAGACTATAAAAAAAGTTTAATGGAGGATGAACAAAGTAAACAGATAAATTACGAATAGTTAGGCTAACATATTTATGTAGGCTTCCTAATGGTTCGTTTCTTGTAATGATATTTATCTACTATCAATATGTAATGTCAAACTTTACAGTTGTCACTTAAATTTCGTAA